TTTTAGGTTTGTAAATTATGCCAAAAAGGTTCAACAATCTGTATTGAAAGTGGCGTGCGTGATTGTGTATGTTAGCAGACTTGTGGCATTCAATATAAAGGATCAAGTTTTTTTTAATGCTTGGACAAGTCTGTTCATAAATGGCATAATTTGCCACTCAGTTCAAGGCAAATGGGATAGCTTTTCAAAGATGAGATTGCTGGGTTAGGACAACTGTTCAAAGTAGTGGATGCTAAAAATAGAGTTGCAATTACTTTTGGTGACCTTAGAGTAAGTCATAGGAGATGTTGTACTGAATTTGGAGGATAGAAAAATAGTGATATAATGAAAGTGGTAACATGAGATATTTTTCTTGTTTAACACATGACAGTTGTAAGTCTGTCACTAAGCATTTTTTGGTTGAAGTGTTCTAAGAGAAGGTTAGTTCTAAAAAGTTAAGGAATCAATTAATCTTGTTACGGTGATATGAACTTTTTAGTGCGTATGCACAAATGTACAAAACTATAAATACATACCTTGATAATTGCAAACCATCAGTAAGAATTTTAGCCATGCACAAAATTCAATTTGTAATATTGATATTCTGAACATCACGTTTACATTATCGTTTTTTCTAACAATACAACATGTTCATGCTCAAATTATCAGGGCATTATTTGTTGCCGCGATGACGCACGGAAAGGTGTATACAGTAGAGTTGGTGAGCCTGCGACGTCGCGCTCTCCGTGACTATGTTAATTTCATGAACTTTGCCTTTTAGATTAAATGTCACTTTAACGTATTTAATTTCATAGTATTTTTATTTTATCGTGCGATCTTTATGTTTTTAGTATAAAAGTTTAGCTGTCCCGTAGCAACGCACGGACACGACTTATGAAGTTCTAGAAGAGGGGTCTGCATTGATTGGTGACCAACTGTAGCTTGGTATTCGTGCAAAGCACGTTCTTTTAGTCGAACTATTGAGAGATTAGATTCTTAATTGTAGAATAGATTCGAAAACATGTATTGTGAAACACAAACTTGTTATGATTATCTTTCCGTAGCACTTGATTTTTAAAGAAGTACAAGCTTATCTTTCGCGTATCGTAGACATGAAGTGATGCAACAATTGAAATTGATGTTTTAGTTTTGCATTCAAATTTAGAGTTATATTTTAACTATCTATCTTCCATGAAGACTTATGTAATATTGATTGGAACATTATGATTGTGGTATCTATTTTGATAACATTATAACACATGCTCATATATATGTTATCGTTGTATTATGTGTTCCCGTTGTAACGCACGGGCATTTACTTAGTATATATACACATGTATACGTAGCGTGTGCCGTGTGGATTCTAGAATATGGACGGCGACAGGCCGTGGCGACGGGCCGGCCTTCATGCATGTCCTCCGGCGTCATCGTCGCTCTTCACGTGCCCAGCCACTGCCTGTGTCATCGTCGCTCTTCCTGTCATTTTGAATAAAAGAAAGGCAGGAATTGAAGATTGAATGAACCCTGTCCTCGCGTCGATGGGTATGATGATTTCTCGATCAGAATATGATCCGAGATCCGATTCCGACATGGCCCATCAGGCTTCATTGATCATGCGACGACACGCTGAATAATTTGAACCAGTGCTTGCAGAACTTTGTTCGATTGGCCAACATCACCCGTTGATCAACTGTGTTTTATGTCAATGCAGTAATAAAGTGAAACATTTATGTTTAGCTTATATATATATCTATATGAGGCCGCCGGAACAACGATGGCACAAGGCGCGAAGACGACGGCAAGGTCGGGCAACAGAGGAGTAACCTGACGAGATGGTGACGTGAGCGAGAACGAGGCGAGGATGTGCGATGGCGACGACGCGGTGCGAGGTCGAGGAGAGAGGAGACGGCGACGCGGGCGAGGCTGCAAGTCGTTGGGGCGTGCGACCGCCGAGCCTCCGTCACATGGACCTGCTAGGCTGCCGGGACGCTGTCACGTGGAGCTACTTGGGCGTGGTCGCGTCGGGGATCCATGACCGTCGGGGTGTTGTGACCGTCAAGGCTCCGTAGCCACCTTGCAAGGCTTTAGGTGGACAAGATTGGAGGAGTCGGGGTGCGAGTGGATGAGGCCACGTGACTCCGAGTCCGAGTTAGCAGATAAGGATGATAAAGAAGAGAAAAAAAGAAAAAAAAAAAGAAAAGATAGGATATTATGGATATTTTATACTTTTAAATACTATAAGGAGTTGTTTCACCAAACGTTTTACCAAAATAGCTTCATCTCCATCACAAGAGGTGCTCGTGGAGCTAAAATAAAAAAAAGTTGCTTCACTGGTGATATTCCTCGTCGATTAACTGTGTGTTATTGGTATCGACTTTAACAAAAATTGCACAATGAAGTGTTTATACACTATGTAAATTCATTGGTACTCTGTTACATTTGTTGATTTTTTTATGCCATAATTGAAAGTGGAAGTGAAGACGTGCGCCCCTGGCCCTTCGTGCTATGGCATAAATGCAATTGATTACTTAAGTAGAAAAAAATATATTGCATCAAATTATTTATATATATGTTTTTGAGCATAATGTTGAGTGCAATAAAAATATGATGATGTAAATGAAAAACTTTAGCTTTCAAGACAAAAAAACACAAGATGTCAAAAATTTGGATGACGCTATACCTCCCGTTGCAACGCACGGGCACTTTTGCTAGTCCAAAAAAAACTCACATGGTTTAAGGTATAATCTCAATTACCAATATACCCTTCATAATAAAAATTCCATCTTATAAATATAACTTCTTAATTAATTGGCTAGAAAATATTAAAAATGAAAGTACCTGGAGGTACCAAGGTATTCTCCCAACCATTGTAAAAGAGCTCACATAATATATGTCTAGGTCCTTATCAAAAGTTATACATTTAGAAAGAAAAAAAATAATTTATAGTAAAGAACAAAGAAAATAAGAAAGAAATAACTGACGAGATATGAGGGAACTGATCATCATCACTAGACTTGGACTACTAGTACGTTGCATTGTCCAAGCCGGATTAACAAACAAGTAAAATCTCCACGTGTCCGGCCGGCACTCGGGGAACGTACGTGTGCACGTACGCGACTCGCGACACATACGTTGACGTTGCTTGCCAGGACAATGCAAGACGGGTACGGACTCGTGTGAACTCGTGTAGTGAGTGGTGACTGGTGAGTCCAGCACTCCAGCTCGAGAGGAAACCATCGGCGACACAGAAACAAACTGAAACAAGCAAACAAGCAAACATCGACGAAGAGATGTGCAGCACCATGCTACTGCTACCTACGTTTGCTTGGGTTTTGGGTTTGCTTGTTGATGGGGGAGTAGCGAGCACGCAACGTACTTAGCTAGCTAGTAGTGGTTGATGGGGTTCCATCGACGTACGTAGTCGACGTTTCTGGAACCATGCATCATGCATATGGTGTTCATCACGTGTGAAATTCCCCTATCGACGACCATGACGTTTTTCTGGCCACTTCGTTTTAAATTTTTAAATTACATCATTCACTTTCCTTTTGTCGTAGCTATTAACTTTGACCTCTTGTAAAATTATACTAACTTCTAGAGTTTCAATAAATGCTCATCATTGTTGTATGCTAACTCATTATCAATCAAAGCTGGATAACCGGATCTTAAAAAAAGGTTCAGGAGTTTGATTCAATTTTTGTGGCGACAACTCCCTCGGGGCATACCTCCTTACACTACTACAGAAAATCTTTTGCACAGCGTTTTACTTGGGGGCTCTGAGACGGTTGGCCTAGTTGCCCGCCTCGGTTATTCGAGACAGGGCAGCCGGGCCAGCAACCACCTCGTTTAATGCTTAACCGAGACGGATACTTCAAAAAACCACCTCAGTTAATATAATATATATTAACCGAGGCGGGCAACATAATGCAACCGCCTCGTTAAATCATTAACCAAGGCGGACATTCTAATTCAACCGCCTCGGTAAATCAGGCCCAGCCTGCTAGCCCACACACCAGCCCACTACCCTCTCCAATATATAAACGAAACTCAGAAACACTAAACACACCGTCTCTCTCTCTCTCTCTCACCCACTCAGCCCCGCGCCTCCCTCTGTCCGTGACTCCCTCTCTCCGCGCCGCCCCTTCCCTCTGTCGTGACTCCGTCTCTACCCCGCGTCGCACCCTCCCTCTCCTCTGAGCCCCTCCCTCTCTCCCCCACACACCAGATACGGCGAGCGGAGCGGCGGCGTGTGGATGGGCTCGCCAGGCTTATCCACGGGTTTTCCTTTTTTTGGTTTTTTATTCGATTTACCGAGGCGGGCAGAATAACCGCCTCGGTTAAGACCACGATTAACCGTAACCTTTCGACCGAGGCGGTTGCAAAAACCGCCTCGGTTAACACTTTTTGCCCGCCACGGTAAAGATTGTTGTAAGAGTGTTTTTTTAAACGATTTGGGTCATTAAGTACAGTTTTGTGCAAGCCCCATGCACCAAACATGAGCTTGATGATGACCTAAATTTCGGTCACACACCGGTAAGTGCATGACTGATTGTACGTGCTTCATATGGCTGATACACGTAGATAAGGTAGGTCTAAACGGCAAGACATGCTAGGGGGTCAGCGAGACTGATTTTACACTCATTCTTCGTCCGAAACACCCACAAACATCTCCCAAAAAGACCATCGAGGAGGCACACAGTGAGGATGTTCTAGGATTGGCAAGAGGCCACCTAAAATGCCAGCACAACTTGTGGGAGACGCACTGGACAACAAGGAAGGGAGTTGGAAGAGCTTGAGGTTGAAGAAAGGGTTAAAAAGCGTAGTAGATTGGTTTTAATCTATTGGATAGATGGATCTCTCGATCGGTCGTGATCATCTCATATATATAGAGTGGGTGATTTTATCTTGGTAGGAAACATATTTCAACTTCGGCACGTAATTTACATGTTTCTCATGAAATCGGGTGAGTTTCCAACAAAAAAAAATCTCAAAATCTCCTCCGATAGGAAAACTGGCCTAGGTCAATTATAGCAAAACCTGGAGGCTTGTCTGAAGAAACCGGCATGGGCCGGTTTTATCTGCCATGCCAAACTAGCCTCAACCGCTTTTCTTTGGATTTTGCATATTTGGAGTCCAATTTGATTCTTTTTAATTGCATTTGAATTTGATTTTCTTTTCTTTTTACCATCTTTAACCCCTCGATCATATTTTACTGTCAACACAATATGCACATATTTTGCATATACCACCTGTTAAGGTGCAAGCTACATAGATGATGTCATGAGTAGAATATACGATAACACAGCAATGCATTATAAAGAAGTTTCGCTTGAGCTACTTTTCAGCCATAGAACAGTGTTTTTCTCTCACAACATTTCAACATAAACATCAGCATAAGCCAAATTTTAGTATAAGGGAACAGGGTGTTCGTCCTCACGGCTGCTGGTTTATCATGGGGAGAGCCTGTGCGGGTCACGGGGGACATGGACATCTCCTTGATGTTGTTGAGGCCGCAGAAGAGCGCCGCCACCCTCTCCAACCCCACCCCGAAACCACCATGTGGAGGTGCGCCATGGCTACAATATAACAAGTCAACATCCAAACCAACATGAGGAAGAACCCTAGCTGACTAGGGAAAATATGGGATATATCACGAGATGAAGTTTGGAAATGCACGAGTGTTGACAGCATGCATGCTGGAACAAACATTTGGAGAAGTACCTGAATGATTCCATGTACGCCGAGATAGTGTTGATGTCGATTCCACACTCCTCAGCGCGTCTCGCCAACATCTCCCGCGAATGTATTCTTTGAGCTCCGGAGATTATTTCCTGGCCTATGTAATGCAGGAGTATCGTTGTACACAACATTATCATCAGCTGCGTGCCAGCAGCAGCACTCCGCGGTGCTGGTAAAACGCATGCTTAATAGTTAATATATATAATTACCTTGAATGAAGACATCGAAAGAATTGCTGTAAGCCGGGTTGTCAGGGCAAGGCATGGTGTAGAACGGGCGCACGGCCAAAGGATACCGGTGGAGGATGTAGAAGTCTGTGCCGTACCTACACCATCACACAAAAATAAAGCATTTGTTAAGCTTTCAGATTCCATAATTAATCAATGATATTATATGTTAGTATTTTTTTTACATAGATTTGATCAAAAAAAATTTAAAAAAATTGATGCTCCTTGAAAAACTGCATTCTTTTTGGACCGACTAATATATGGGATATATTATGTTTACTACGTACTTTTCCTTGACAAGCCGACCAAGCACTTTCTCAGCTTCAGTAGTCAGGTCTCCCATAGGCTCGAGTTCTGTTCCAGCGTCCTGTCAATTAGATAAACCATCAATGTCGTTAGTATATATACAGTACAATACAAAGCAAGCCTACATTCTGCAAGAGTAAGCAGGTATTTCAAAGCTTGCATGCATGTATTGCTACCTACATTCAGCATTAGGATTCCTTCCTCAAAAGTGAGCTTCAAGGTTTGCTCCAGATACTGCACAACAGAAACGTCATGATCTTATTCAGTATGGCTTTAGCATGTATTCAGTCTGCAATTAGTAGAGTAGTACCACAAAATAAATAAGCAAGGTTGTTTTACCTTCACAGGCTCAAACGGACGCTGCTTGTTTATGACGCCAAGTTCCTCCTTGCAGTTTTCATTCAAATGTCTAAATATTGACACAAACAAGCCAGCTATGACATCGCAGACCTGGTAACACAACAGATAATTAGCCATTAGCCATCACTACTGCTACTGCAGTGGATTAAACCAAACCAAATGAAATGAAATACCAGCATTATTCTCGTTTTGGTTCATCTTACTTCGAAATAGTGCTCCATGATCTCATCTTGTTGAGCCCAAGATCTCCCGCACGGGTGAACCGATCGCTCACCGGCATTCTCGCGCACACACTACGGCTGGAGGTAGAAGAGGGAGGAAGAACAGAGCGCACACACGCAGAGGAGATGGCAAAACTGAACTCTCTCACTTCACTGAGTTGCAGTGGGAAGCTATATATACAACTCTACCCATCTAATCCTAGTACACAGACATGCCAGGCTGTCATGCTGCTACAGTGACTAGATGTGACAGCAGGTCTGACTTTGATACCTACCTCTGCTGTGGCTACAGTGCGGCAGGGGAGCCTTTCGGCGCCTGCCCCTGCCGCGGCTACAATGCAGCAGCAGGGGAGCCCTTTCGGCGCCTGCCCCTGCCGCGCGTACAGAGGGAGAGCAGCAAATTACTTTATAATTCTTCCCCTAATCCTGCTGCTAACCCTAGAACCTCCACCATGCCGATCATATTCTTCAGCTCCGTGAACCGAAGACGGCCGAACGGCTTGGTGAGGACGTCCACGAGTTGTCGACCAGTTTCGACGAACTCGATGGCGATCTGTCCTCCATCGACACAGTCCCTAAGAAAGTAGAACTTGATGTCGATGTGCTTGCTCCGGTCATGGAGAACCGGATTCTTCGCGAGGGCGAGGGCGGGCTGGTTGTCCACCATCAGTACTAGTGGGTGAGCTTCCACACTGTTCAGCTCGCTCAGCAGCCGACGCAGCCACACAGCTTGGCACGCCGCTGTGGCCACCGCCACGTACTATGCCTCGCACGTGGACAGCGCCACCACCTTCTGTTTCAACGACAGTCATGAGATTGGAGCCAACCCAAGGAAGACGAGCATGTCAGAGGTGCTCCGCCGTCCATCGATGTCTCCCGCCATATCTGCATCGCTGAACACAGTGAGCTGCAGCACACTTCCGCCGGTCTTGGGGAAGACGATCGCCTGATTCACCATCCCCTTGACGTAGCGCAGCAGCCGCTTTATCGCGGCACAGTGATCCTCTCGTGGATCCTTCATAAAGCGGCTGACGTAGCCCACGGCCAACGCAATGTTTGATCTCATGCAGACTAGGTAGCGCAGATCGCTGACCATGCTCTGGTAGAGTGTTGCATCTAACTTTGCCACTGTACTGGCCTTCGTCAGCTTCAGTCGCTCCTCCATCGAAGTAACGCACGGCTTGCACTCATCCATGTCGCTCTGATCCAACAGCTTCGAGGCGTACGCGCTCTGACCGAGCGTGAGCGCCTCCTTCCCTTGTCTCACCTCGATGTCGAGGTAGTAGGAGAGCGCACCAAGATCGCTCATTCAAAAATGAGCCGCCATCTCGCACATGAAGCTATCGATGTCCTCCGCACGCGCGACGGTGACGATCAAGTCATCCACATACACGTCGACGATGAGCTCCTCCTTCCCCGTCGCCGCATGTAGAGCGTGTGCTTGGTTGCACACTGCGTGAACCAAGCTCGCCCAGCGTGGTGTCAAGCTTGGCGTTCCACTCTCGTGGGGCCTATCGCAGCCCGTAGAGCGCCTTGCGCAGTCAGAGCACCCTGTGCTCCGCTCCCTTGACGGTGAAACCTGGAGGTTGCCTAACGAAGACCGTCTCCGCCAGCTCGCCATTGAGGAAGGCTGATTTTATGTCCAGGTGATGGACGCACCAGTCCTTCGCTGCTGCCAAGGCCAGCAGCAGTCGGATAGACTCTATGCGCGCTGCCGGCGCAAAGACTTCCTCGAAGTCGATGCCCTTGCGCTGGACAAAGCCTCGGGCGATGAGGCGCGCCTTGTGCTTGACAATGGCACCGCGCTTGTCCCGCTTGACCTTGTACACCCACTTCAGGCCGATCGGACGGCATCCTAGAGGTGGATCGATGAGCTCCCAAGTCTCATTTTCCTCGATCGCCTTCATCTCCTCCAACATCGGCCGTCGCCAATTTGCATCGCGCTCAGCCAGCGCGAACGTGGGTGGTACCTCTGCACTGATGAGAAGCAGCTCTGGGTGATTGAGCAGCCAATCCGCCAGGCCAGAGGACCCTGTGCCACCAACGATGTCGTCTAGCCTGCGGAACCACACCTCCTCACCATCGTGGAAGGCATCCACGAACTCGATGATGTTGCTTGGAGGTGAGGCAAACTTGATCGGCATTGATGGAGTCCCCTGTTCCACCGGAGTGGTCGGCACAGCACTTGGAGTGCTCGGCACCCCAGCTGCAGTGTTTGGCACTACTCCTGGACCGCTCGTCACCACTCTTGGAGTGATTGGCACCACTGTAGGAGTGCTCGGCACCAGTCTTAGAGTGGCCGGCACCATTGCAAGACCTCTCGGCTTCGCTATGGGAGCGTTCGGCATCCGTCCTGGAGTGGTCAGCACCACTGCAGGACCACTCGGCACCACTTCTGTCGTGCTCGGCACCCCTCCTGGAGTGCTCGGCACCGCCCCAGGAGTGCTCAGCTCTGTTTCTAGAGTGGTCGGCACCTCATCTCCAGCATCTCCACCATCGTGGATGATCAAGTGCTCGACGACGAAGGTGCTGGTGAAGCCGCCAGCTTCCCCCGTGCCTAGACTGTCCTAGTCCCAGGCCGCCTTATCGTCGAATACAACGTCGCGCGAGACAACCACCTTGCCTCCGTGTGGGTCATAGAGCCGCTACGCCTTGGTACCTTTCTCGTAGCCCAAGAGCACCATCGGTGTGCTCCTGTCCTCTAGTTTGGTGAGGACCGGCTTCGTCTTCCTGATGTGGCCAATGCAGCCGAATGTTCGGAGGAAGGACACGCTCGGTTTGCGCCCATACCAAGTTTGGAACGGCGTCACACCCTTTAGGGCCTTTGTGGGCGCGCGGTTGAGGATGAACACCGCCATGGTCACCGCCTCACCCCAGAACCTTGCCGGCATGCTCTTGGCCTTCATCATGGATCGTGCCATGCCGACCACCATCGGGTTCTGCCGCTCCACTATGTCGTTCTGCTGCGGCGAGCACGGCACGGTGTGGTGTCACATCACATCCTGATCCGCGCAGTACGCAGCGAACTCCACATAAGTGAATTCACCACCACAATCTGTCCTCAGCACGCGCAGCTTCTTTCTGGACTCTACCTCCACCCACGCTTGGAACCTCTTGATCGCCTCCGTCGCCTCATCCTTGCTCGTCAGGAGTTGTAGTCACATATAGCATATGTGGCTAGCGTCATTGGCCCACATAGATCGCCGTGGACGAGCTCAACAATGTCCACCACACGATACTTGGCCGCCTTTGGGAACGACAGCCTCATCTGCTTCTCGGCCAGGCAGCTGTCACACAGCTCGCCTGCGTGCTCGATATGAGACAGCCCAGTCACCATCTTCTCCAGCCGACCAAGAGCATCGAAGCTAAGATGGCCATACCAGGCATGCCACAGCCATGGCTCCTTCGTGTGCCGTGCAGCCAAGCAGATGGGCTGCTCCACCTTCAAGTCGAGTAGGTACAGCTGGTTCCGGGACCTCTTCACCATGGCAAGAAGCCGCTGCTCTCGGTCTTTGATCCTGAGGACGCCATCCTTGATCAGTATCTCACTGTCGCGCTCATCCAGCTGGCCAATGCTGATGATCCTTGAACGCAGTTGTAGGATATAATATACATCCATCAGTGCGTGGTGCTCGCCGTTCTGACACCTGAAGATGATGGTGCCGTGCCCTCAGATCGCCACCCTTGAGCCATCACCGAACTTCACCGTGCCGGTCACGTTGTCGTCGAGCTCAGAGAAGGCTTCCTTAAAGCCCGTCATGCGGTTGCTGGCGCCGGAGTCCAGGTACCACCGCTGCTCTCGCTCGCTGCCCATACATTCGAGGTGGACTTGAGCGCGCGGTTCATCGAGGTTGACAGCCTTTAGAGCCTTGCCATGTCCTTCCACCGCCATCACCTCTCCCTTCTCCTTGGCCTCAATGTCGTGCAGTGCACAGAACATCGTCATCAGGAGAGTGGTCTCATCATCCTCATCAGCCTGCGCTAAATGAGCCTCAGTCTTTTTCTCCTGCTTGCGATTTGGGCACTCCTTTGCTCAATGGCCTGTCTTCCCGCATCGCTGACAGATGTTGGGGGTCGACCTTCTTCTTCTTCTTCTCCGAAGAAGCCTTGCCGCGGCGTTTGTCATCGCCACCGCGACTGGAGAAGGCTTCTCCGGACTTCTTCTCCTTCATCCGGGCAGCCCACTACTACTCTGACAGCAGCAGCTTGCCGCTGTCCGTCGTTGTTGTGGCCTGCTCCATGATGAGGGTGGACAAGTCCAGCATCATCTCTATGGAGAGAGCGATCTGGATGTACTTCACCGGCATGGAGTGGAGGTACTTGGAGACCGCCTCTTCTTCGTCGATTGTGACATCGTGGCTCCTCAGCTTACTGATGAGCGACTGCAGGCGGAGGGAGAAGTCCTCCACCGACTCAAGGTTAGCGTACTTCTGCTTCAGCAGTTGGGCCATCGCCTTCTTTGCACGGTCGGAGCCGACGCGCATTGCTGCAATGGTCTCCCACGCCTCCTTAGCAGAGTTCTTGGTCCCCAACGACTCCCTGTACTCCGCTGGCACAGCAGCGATGATAGCCTCCAACGCTGACGTATCGTCTTCTTCATTGTCGGTGCCCTTGTCAATGACATTCTAGAGCCGTCGGACTCTGAGCTTGACCTTCAAGGTCACCGCCCACTCATCATAGTTGGTGCGAGTCAGTGTTGGCCAACTGGTGCCGCTGACCTCCCGCACCGTGTGCACGACGACCTCCTGTCGTGGCTGCGCAGCCACAGCAGCGCCGCTGCTGTCAACCATCTCCGAACCTTCCGTCATCGCCAGCGGTTAGTCCGGCGACGACGCTTGCTCAACTCTGATACCAGTTGTTGGGCTCGAGATCTCCCGCGCGAGTGAGCCGATCGCTCTCCGACGTTCTCGCACACACACTACGACGGTAGGTAGAAGAGGGAGAGAGAATAGAGCGCGCACACAGCACAAGCACCAGCGTTGACCGGAGCTCTGCAGATGAGATGGTAAAACTAAACTATCTCACTTCACTAGTACGAGACAGTTGCGCTGGGGAAGATGTATATATATACTTTGGCACTTATACCCATCTAATTCTAGTACACATATATGTCAGTGCTGCTGCTATAGCTCTGACAAGGAGCTCTTCGACGTACTGACTAGATGTATAGAGGAGAGCAGCAAGTTACACATCTTAGGGCATGTTTTGGCGAAGGAACCAGGGAATACCCCGCAGGAATAAGGTATGATGAAAAGTGAAAAACTACGGCAGAGAGAGCACATGAATTTATAACGTAGGAATAAAGTCGCTTTAAGTACAAACCTACTAGCAACGCCGGAAAAAAGCTAGATAGTGCAGCAGTCATGAAGAGTCCAATAGGTTTAACATCTGCCCTTACCGCACGTATAAAAGAGAGCATCAGATTACTTTCCAAAACTACATTGTCCTTCAAAATTCCAGTGAATCCTTCAATCAGACATGCCTGCCTGGGCGTCCTGGAGGTTTCTGCTCTGAACACAGGGCCAACCTCGAATACGCGTTCGAACCCGCCGCAGATGGCCATCTGCTTGTGTAGCTGAGGAGACTGCGCTAAGCAGGCAGGCTGTCTGTCCGTGGTACACCAGCTTGAACACGGCCGCACCTCCCTCGCTGGACCCGGCCATCAGTTTTGGCGTTTCGATCTCGACGAAGTCCTTTGACGACAGAAACTCTCTGAATTTCTGCGCAATGTTCAGAACATAATTATAGATATGAATCAATAAAAGGAACATTGTATGCCAAAGAAAACTCACTCTTTGATCAAAAAAGTTTACTTTTTAGTCAATGAAAAAAAGTACAAAGTGCTGCTAAGCTAGCTAGCTAGCTAATGGGCTACATGCAAATGTGAGTATGTGGCTTGGCACTGCACATTCTGTTAGACTATTACTACTATTTACCACATATATAGATGATAAGAAATCACATTCTGTTAGACTATTACTACTATTTACTACATATATAGAACACTCACGTTTTTCACTTGAGCCTTGATCCAGAATCCTGCTTGGTTGAAGAGTAATCGCAAATGAAGAGCCCTAGCATTCAAGCAGGTGTCTTGCCCAACATGAACAGCCTTCAATCATGCATAGCAAAAAAGGTATTCAGTTCCTGTTCGCTTGAGCTTATCAGCCAGCTTATCAGCTAGAATCTACAGTATTTTTCTCTCATAGCAAAACAGCTTAAGCCGGTTCAAAGCTGGCTTATCAGCTAGTAATCACGTTAGTAGTTTCTATAAGACATAACTATACGTACTTGTTCGGCCTCACTCCGTGCTGCATCCTCAAGGCTAAATGGAAGCATCGAGGTTGCCCTGTTGATGCAATAGATCTTGCTGACTTGAATCTCAACCTGAATATATGGCGGCCAAACAACCACAAATAAGGATTAAACCCCATGCGCTTAATTAGTTGTTACTCCTACTTGTTAGTTTCTGTGGATTTCAAAGAAGGAAGGAACAACTACTAATCTAGTGCTAACTATTCGTGTCATAAATGTTGAAGTGTTTGTTCTTTATATAGATTTGATTTGATTATAAACTTAAAATCCTTTGACTCATCTAAACAAAGAGTGAGTTTTTTTTTTTTGGGGGACTGAGGCAGTAATTAATAGCGGGCAGAACGAACGAACCAGCTGTGTGGTGGCCGCGATGGGCACCTTGGGGACGGAGACTACGCCCTCGACGTGGACGCAGGAGGCAGGACTCGATGCTGAGCGCGGCGACGAACTGCACCATCCGCTGGCTGACGCCGGCGCCGGCGAAGATCACGCACTGCACGGTGGCCATGCCCTGGCGGAGCACGAGGAAGGTCATCCTGGAGAAGGAGAGGGTAGCTGCTTCTTGCTGGGGGTGGGGTGGGCGGCGGCGGATGCCAGGTCGGCCGCGAGCTCCTCCGCCGCGGTGGGTGTAAGTGCACGAGGTTCCGATGACATGGCTCCGCTCCGATCGGCCATCGACGGCGTGCACGAGAGAGACCGTGATGACGGAGCAAAGGGGTTCACGTGGCCAAGCCAAACTCTATCGTTACGTCAGCCGGTCTCTTGATTATATATAGGCTACTAGTACGTACGTGAAACGAACACGGGAAGCTACCGGCCCGTACACAAAGCCGTATGAAACCGTCATCCTGGTGCGCGACGTGGGTTCGGTCGAGACCGATCTGAACCACACGAAACAACACTACAGCCGGTTCGACGGGTTCAACCCGAGGAAACCGCTCAGACCCAAACCCACCAATGTGGAAAAGAAAAGGCGGCGAGGAAATTAGAATTAAAATTTGCCTGGATCAAATAAAATTTTCCCGGATCAATTAATGGTTCAACTAATGAAAAGGTAAACTAAAACCTTAAGTAGTTTGTTATCTATTCTGGTCAAAATAAATGTGTCTCCAAACTATTTGAGTCTATTAGCGTAATCTTCGACGCTAGCTGCCACGTGGAAAATTGTTGGGGGAACGCCCTCGATGCGCCACCCTGCCCCTCCATCGACTGAGGGTGGACCCTCGCACGCATGCTCCCTGTCGCTGGACCCCCAATCACTAGGGCTACGCCGTTGTTGTGAGGACCCTCGCTGGACTCGCACGGGGTCTTTGCTGCCAACAATGCTCTGGCGAGCGATGACTGTCTGGACTCCGTCAACCGGCCGACATTGCATGGCTCCACCGGCCCTCTCGGCGTAAGGTACCTTGTCTTCCTGTTTTGCAGAGCCCAGGGCTGCTCGCGAAGAAAGCCGGCGAATGGAGACCCTTGGAGTCATGCGCAGACCTTCTACGCTGCCCCATGGACGCCGCTATAGAAGATGTTGAGGAGTGGTCCCCCATAACGGGAGACCTCAACGGTATTAAGTGGGTTGGTACTACAGTGATAAATGGTGAATTAGTGGCTATTTATTCTTAAGTTCATTGCTACTCCTCCAGTTACCCTTGTTTTTTATATGAATCAATCATACTTAGTGACGTTGGAGGTAAACAGGTATTTAGTTGTTGGTACATGATTCTAATTTCTAACCTAGCTCGTTTACTTTTGTCACCCAGCCTCGCCTGCTGGCCTCTCCCCGAGCGCGGCTGCCTCTCCGTGCGCAGAAACGCAGAGTCAAATGGCACGGTTGTTGTAGCCTGGGGCCATGTCACAAGCTCGCAGCATACTTGCAACTGGAAGACTAGCGCCTGGACATCCGGATGTCCACGCCTGCTCCACCCTGGTCCTTCGGGTTCGCGCGCCACCCGAGCCAGTTCCGCTTCGGACCGCTCCTTTCCGCTCCACTGCCCACGCCGCCCAGATGACTCAGCCCCGTCTCTTCCACACCGGTGCCTCGCCCACCTCTTCCATATCTCTTCGCGCCCACCTCTTCCACGCCGCTCGGATGACTCCCCGCCTCTTCCACACCGGCGTTGTGCGGCTTGCGCCTCCTCCCCACATTGACACCGCCATGGCTCCCGCACAAGCTATTTCTTCCTCGATCAACAACCCTACATCTAGATCTACTTTTGCAACACTCAGATGAAACAAATTGTAACATACTTCTGAAACAGATGAAACATTTGAAACATACATTTGCAACATATGCAACATCCAGATAAAACACTTACAACATGCGTCTAAAACAGATGAAACATTTTGAACACACTCTTGCAACATATGTATATAACCATTGCAATATGTGCAACATCCATATGAAACATCTAAAATACTCCAAACATGCTTTTTGCAACATAGGGAAGGCCGGGACCGATCGATTCCAGGCGTCGGGGTGGAAGCCAGTGTGCGAGCGCCACTAGCACCAGCACCAGCACCAGCACCCGTGGCGGCGCGCGAGCACCACCAATCCACCATCTTCAGCACCACTAGCACCGGCCTTGGCTCAGCTGGGTAGGCGACGCGCACGATGGGTGGGAGCAGGCTGCGCAGGTGACGGGAGGGACGGGGCGAGGTGGAGCGAGGTGGCAGCAGCGAGCGCGGAGTTGACAAGGACGCACGGCGCGGACGGGCAACGCAGGTTTAGACGCGCGAGGCACACAGCCCAGGTGAGCGACGCTGGTGGGTCGGTCCATCTGTCTGGACGACCACGGCGTATCGTTATCGTACTTGCAAAGTTGCAAGGTAGAAAAACCCGCGACCCGTCCAAACCAGACCAACCCAGTAGATTAATTTTGTCAGGAACCGGTGGAGTAACCCAAGCCGGACCTAATCACGCGCAGACGGCTTGGGTTGCAAACCCGGGTGAAACCGGAAAACCCAGCCCATATACGTCGGGAAGCCCTGTCCCTTGCCAGCGAGGCCAAATCGGGTTTTCTTTTTCACATAAGCGTGTTTTGGAGTAGGCTATATAATAAAATTTGACAAATAACTAATCGGGTTTTCGTTTTCCATCCAAACTTTGACAAATAACTAATCAAAATTATATAATAAAATTATATAAATGTTTAGAACATAAACTCACATCATTTTACGTGGCTATGAGATAATATTGGTTTTAATAAAATTATATAAATGTTTAGAACATAAAACTCACATCATTTTACATGGCTATGAGATAATATTGATTTTTTTATCAAATGGTAATATATTTAAGAGAAGTTAAAGGTCTATTTTGTTTGAATTCTCTTTGTTCTAAACAGAAGGTATGTTGCTACTCACAAAGAGGACAACATGATGGATTTTATCATTACACTTTATTACACTTCCCGGCAAATAAAGAAGAAAAAGAAAAAGGGATGAGCCTTCCCGGCAAATAAGGAACAAAAGAAAAAGGCAACATATCAGGTGCAAACCAACCAACTCTGTACAAACTTAAAAACTATCAATTAAGACCACTAAATGCTGATCTAATGGACGAGGTGAAAGGGTTAAGCGCAAAAAAAAAAGCCCAGCAGATGGAGAGCTTAAGCGTAAAAAAATCCCTTCTCTCACCCCATCCATTGGATCAGTATCTAATGATCCTGATTGATAGTTTCTAAGTTTATATAGATTGATTGATTTACACATGGTATGTTACCATCAGGACGCTGAACCTAGAATCAAGCCATCTAACGGACGACGAATTCACTCGTAGCACAATTCTTTCTCTTTCTTTTGGCGACTACTCGTAGCACAATTCTTCACTATGCCGGGCAGACCTCCTGCCGGCTCTCCAAAAACAAAACAACAAAAAACTCACTCGTTTAGTCTTAGGAACTGAAGCCCTTGGTATATACCAACAATCAGGCCTGAGCACAACGAAGAACTGAGCAATACTTGCACTTAACAACAATCAGACCAGAGCAATACGTGAGGTGGGAAGAAAAGCCCAAAAGGATCATATTGTTGTTGGTTTCAGCAATCTAATAGATACAAGTAGCTTTGTGAATTTAACAGGAACTCTGAACTGCAGCAACCGGGTTCAGTAGCTGAGATTGCAAGTTAACGATGATGGTAAGAACATCGGAACAACCCGTAAGCTTAGTGACACCACTTGCAGGCTCAGGCTTGGAATCAGGAAATTACGGCACAAGCCTCTGTGGGTCGCGGGGGAACATTGAGGTCTTCCTG